ATTATGACCCCCCTCACCAGTGAGCTCATCCCCTTGTGCCCTCTAGCAGAAACCTCTTACAAAGCAGAAAGTATTTTTAACCAAATCATGCCGCTGCCAGATCCTCAGCACTGGGAAAAAAGGATGGTCTGAATTACTGATGACGGTCACGAGAGGAGACAGCTCAAGAATTGTGGCTTCTCTTAATTGCAAGACATTGACTATAAGGAGATAAACTCTTTTGCCTGGTGTTAGCATAAAGCCAGTGCCAAAGACCCCCTGAGCAGAGCGGGCAGCCCCCGGCCTAAACAGTTACCTTTCTTTCCAATCCAAGAGGAGACCTCCTATAGGGAATCGTAATTCCTCCTCATGCTGTGCTGAGAGTGCCAGGCTGGGCAGAAATCTGTTATGCACGGAAAATTGTTCTCCATTAATAAAATATGAGGCCTGTGGCTGGCAAAGAGCAAGCATATGGTTATGGATTAAGGGATAAAGGACACTGGTCATGGAGCCAAAACACCCAGGTTTGAGCCCCCAGCCCTGATAACCTGAGAACTGGGTGTGCTTCTGGGCAAGTCAAGAAGCTTTGGCTTCCTCATCTGGGAAGTGGGCACAGTGATGCCCTATCTACCACAGAGTGCTGTTGTGAAAACAGCATTCTGTAAACCTTGAAGCATTGGACATGGGGGGGTGTGATGGAGTATCTGAAAGGGCCCTTAGCACCTAGAATGTCGGAGCTGGGAGGGGCCTTAGAACACAGGATGTCAGAGCTGGAAGAACTCTTAGAACACCGAATGTCAGAGCTGGGAGGGCACTTAGAACACAGGATGTCAGATTTAGAAGGAATCTTAGAACATGGAATGTCAGAACTGGGAGAGAACTTAAGCATCATCTTATCCAACCCTGTAATTTTTGAGATGAAACCGAGGTCCGGAGAAAGGAAAGTAACTTGCCCAAGTCAGTGCTGGGACCAACCCCCGGTCTCCATCCCTAAGCTCAGTCTGGCCCCTTTCACTTCAGGCTGTTGCCAGGATGCCCATCCTGGTGGGGACAAACATTACAACAAATGTCTCCAGGTTCCAGTTGCCTCATCTTGGGGACTGCAGCTTAAGAGAAGTTGGGGGAGGGAGGGATGAGGCATCGATGCAAACCCAGGCCCCGGCACAAGCAAGCCAAACCAAGCTGAGCAGGCCAAGAGAGTGCCAAGTTGCCAGGGGCCTGCAAGCAGCCTAGGCCACCCCACCTACACTACACAGTCCGCTGGCCAAATAACCAGCATTTATATAAGGCTTTAAGGTTTGCAAATTGCTTTACAAATATTATTTCATTTTTTACTCACAACAGCCCTGAGAGGTAGGTGCTATTATTTTCCCCATTTTATAGATTAGGAAGCTGAGACTGAGAGATATCAAGTGACTTGCCCAGGGCCACACAGTGTCTGAGTCTGGATTTGAATTCAGGGGTTCCTGACACCAAGTTCAGTGCTCCATCAGCTATTCCTAGCTGCCTAGAGATGGGGGTGAGAGTGGGGTAGAAGGGGTGGTACCTCCCACAATCCTTTCAGAGCATTAGAGGGCCAGAGCCTAATGGTACAATGGCACCAAGAGGGTGAGTCTGCCCAGGGAACTGCACACAGTAGGCTCTTAATAAATGCTGATTGAGCCAAACTGGCTCAAGAGCTTCTTTTCACCTGATTGCCCCTCCAGTGATTGTTGGATTCCATTTATTCTAATTTGCTAAATTTAAACCCTGTTCTTTTCTGAAGTCTTTGCACTGGAGGGTTTAAGTGACTAAATTAAGTCTCATTTGCACGTCTTTAGCCGTTTATGAACCTGCCCAGCATTAATTACCATGTGTGTCATCGAGTAATAAAAGTCTCTGAACTCTCTACCATCTGATTATGTTTTTAAAAAAACCCCATAGCTCATTTACATTTAATAACTGGAAGGCCCTGCTCCGCTCAGATGATTTACATCCTCTTTGGAGCAGGCCTGTCCATTTGGCCTAGATAACCATGAACGTTCAGCCAGCGATGGTCATAGAATTACAGAATCTCAGAGTTTGGAGGGTTACCTCAGAGGGCACCCAGTCCATCCCCTACGTCAGCATGAATCCCCACTACAACCCTCCCAACAGGTGCCATCCACCCATGCTCGGATTAAAGACCTTGGAGGACTGGGAACTTACCTCCACTTTCCATTCATTTTGTTTGTATTTAGCATGGCCCAGAGTCAGGAAGACCTGAGTTCAAATCCAGCCTCAGACGCTTACTAGCTGGGTGACCCAGGGCAAGTCGCTTCCCCCTGTTTGCCTCAGTTTCCTCATCTGTAAAATGAGCTGGAGAAGGAAATGGCAAACCACTCCAGTGTCTTTGCCAAGAAAACCCCAAATGGAGTCACAGAGAGTCAGACACGACTGAAATGACTGAACAAGAACAGTGACAACAGTCTGTACTTATAGGTGGATGTTTCTCACCGGACAGAATGAGAGCTTCTTCAGGGAACAAGCTGTCCCCCTTTTGTCTTTCTGTGCCAAGCACTGAGCACCCACCTGGCACGGGGCAGGGGCTTTGATCAATGCTTGTTGGTTTACTGACCGTAAGGCAGCCCGATACACTTTGGGGCAATTTTAATGGGTCTTTGTTAAATTGAGCTGAAACCTGCTTCCCCCTAATGACCTAGCTCTACAGCTGGAAGAGACTTCAAAGGTTGGACAGCCGAGGCCTAGAGAGGATACTTGCCAAGGTCAGCCAGTGTGGGTCAGAGGCAAGATTTGAACTCAGGCCCCTAGACTCTAAAAGCAAGATTCTATAATATTTTTTTTTACTTTTTTTCTTCTTTTTTCTTCTTTTATTAATTTATTTTGATTTATCAGCAATCACTTCCATATGCTTTTGAGTTTAAAATTTTTCTCCCCCTTCCTCCCCACCACCCTCCCCAAGATGGCACACAATCTGATATAGGCTATACATTTACATTCCTATTAAACATATTTTTACATTAGTCATATTGTAAGGAAGAATTAGAACCACTCAGAGGAACCACCAGAAAGAGGAAACAAAACTCAACAGAAGAGAAAAAAAAATAGCAAACAGTATGCTTTGATCTGCATTCAAACTCCATAGTTCTTTCTTTGGATGTGGATAACATTTTCCATCATGAGACTTTTGGAGATGTCTTAGATCCTTGTATTGCTGAGAAGGGCTAAGTCTATCAATATTAGTCACCGCACAACGTGGCTGTTACTGTGTACAACGTTCTCTTCATTCTGCTCACTCTACTCAGCATCAGACCATACAAGTCTTTCTAGGTTTTTCTGAAGTCAGCCTGTTCATGATTTCTTATAGCACAATAGTATTCCATCACATTCATATACCACAACTTGCTCAGCCATTCCCCAGTTGATGGGCATCCTCTCAATTTCCAATTCTTGGCCACCACAAAAAGAGCTGCGATGAATATTTTTGTACATGTGGGTCCTTTTCCCATTTGTATGATCTCTTTGGGATACAGCCCTAAAAGTGCTATTGCTGGGTCAAAGGATATGCACATTTTTATAGCCCTTTGGGCAAAATTCCAAATTGCTTTCCAAAATGGTTGGATCATTTCAGAACTCCACCAGCAATTCATTGGTGTTCCAATTGTCTCACATCTTCTCCAACATTTATCATTTTCTTGTTTGGTCATCTTGGCCAATCTGATAAGTGTGATGTGGTACCTCAGAGTTGTTTTGATTTGCATTTCTCTAATCAATAGTGATTTAGAGCATTTTTTATATGACTATAGATGACTGTAATTTCTTCATCTGAGAATTGCCTGTTCATATCCTTTGACCATTTATCAATTGGGGAATGACTTGTATTCTTATAAATTTGATTTCATTCTCTATATATTTTAGAAATGAGGCCCTTATCAGAGAGACTGGTTGTAAAAAGTCTTTCCCAATTTTCTACTTTCCTTCTAATCTTGGTTGCGTTGGCTTTGTTTGTGCAAAAACTTTTCAATTTAATGTGATCAAAGTTATCCATTTTGCTTTTCGTAATGTTCTCTATCTCCTGTTTGGTCATGAATTCTTCTGTTCTCCATAGATCTGATAGGTAAACTATTCCTTGCTCTCCCAGTTTGCTTATAGTATCAGCCTTTATATCTAAATCATAAACCAATTTTGACTTTATTTTGGTATATGGTGTGAGATTTTGATCAATGCCTAGTTTCTGCCATACTCTTTTCCAGTTTTCCCAACAGTTTTTTTTCAGAGTGGGCTCTTATCCCAGAAGCTGGAGTCTTTGGGTTTATCAAAGAATAGATTACTGTAGTCATTGACGACTGTTTCTTGCATACTTAACCTATTCCACTGATCCACCACTCTATTTCTTAGCCAGTACCAAGCAGTTTTGATGGTTGAGCAAGACTCTTTATGCTGAACTGCAGTGTTCACCCACTGGTTCTTATTCCCTATTCTGCCCCCACCACCCTAAGCAGGCCAAAACCGTGTTTCCACATAAATGTTCTTCCAGTACTTGAGAATGGAGACCATATTCCCCCCCAAAAAATCTTCTCTTCTCCAAGCTCACCCCTCACCCCATTTCTTCAGTCACTCCTAATATGGCGTGGTCTCTGGTCCCCTCACAATCTCAGTCACCCTTCTTCATTCTTTCTAAGTCCAATTCCTTCCTTCCTTCTTCTTTCTTTCCTTCTCTGCCCTGCCTCTCTCTTTCTTTATCTTTCTCCCCTTCTCTTTCTCTTTCCTCTCTGCCTCCCACCTCTCTTTTTCTCTCTCTTCCTTTCCTTCGTTCCTTTTTTCTTTCTTTCTTTTCTTCTTTCCTTCCTTCCTTTCTTTCTCTTACTAATTAACTCTGCACTGGCCTTCCGCCCCCCCCCCCCCCCCCCCCCCCCCTCATTTCCCCCCCCCCCGCCCCCCCCCCCCCCCCCCCCCCACAAGAGCTCTCTGCATGGGCAGCTGCTCTGAGCTATCTGGCCAGTTGCATGGTAACCATTTTTGTGCCTCCTCTCTCCTCACAGACCATGTCTCTATTGGAGGACTCGGGGACAGTTTCTATGAATATTTGATCAAGGCCTGGTTGATGTCAGCCAAGACAGACATAGAAGCTAAAAATATGTACTATACCGCCCTCGAGGTAAGAAGTTGGTTCTGTCCTTTTGGTAACAGGTTGGTAATTAGCCACCTACAATCACCAAATCCTAGCACTAACAAGGATCTGGGAGGTCATCTGATCCATACCCAGGTACCACAGGGACTTCCCAATGTTCTTAGGGGGATGAGCCAGAATCTTTTCCTGCTGCTTTATCACAGGTGCCCTTATCAGAGGCGTGCCCCTCCCACTGCCCCTGGGGGTGGTCCCAAGCACTGCCAAAGAGCACAAGTCTCCCTGGAAAGACAAGACACAGATGCTCATTGTTCCTCTGGCAGCACCCTCCACCCCCCCAGGCCAGGCACTGGAGAAGAGACACAAAGATACAATGAATGATGGATAAAAGGAAGGAAAGGAGGGAGGAAAGAAGGAGGGAAGGAAGGATGGAAAGGAGGAAGGGAGGAAGAGAGGGAGGAATGAAGGAAGGAAAGAAGAAAGAGAAAGAAAGAAAGAAAGAAAGAAAGAAAGAAAGAAAGAAAGAAAGA